CTCTTCTCCTCCCCACTGCCCCAGCCTGCCAGGCTCCAGCTCCTGAGCCCCAGCCCATGGCCCCACGAGCTTCTCATCAATGGAGAACCCAATGGGAACCAGAGGGGGGGCAGGACCCCCTCTCAACAGCCCTTCACACCCTCTGTGATGTCCAGCTTGGAGAGCCAGGGGCACAGGAAGGGATGTTCCCTGGAGCTGCACTGCAGTGCTGGGACTCACCTGTCCCAACAACATGGGTGCAATCGTGTTGGTGGTGTAAGTCTGGATCATAGTCTCCACCGTCTCCTTATCAAGTGGAGCTGGCTTTGCAATTCCAGCATTGTTGATGAGGATGGTCAGCCCTGAGCCCCCCAGGAGCTCCTCAACTCTGGCTGCAGCCGCCTTGATGCTGGCGCGGTCGGTGACTTCTGCAGAGCCGAGGAAGGGGAGGTTACTGCCCACGACCTTATGGTGGCTTTGAGCCGCCTGTGTTCCCCCAGAGAGGGCTTTGCCCACTGGCCCCGCAGGTACCAGCCCATTGGCACAGCTCTCTTCAAGCAAGGAACTGTCTGGGTGTGCCCAGTGCTTGGTCACTCGCCAGAGGAACTGGGGCGAAGGTTCCCCATCTCGGGGCACCTACCGAGTGGGAGGATGACCAGGTTGGGGTGCTTGGAGGCCAAATTCTGTAGCTCCTGCAAGAGAGGGCACTGTGAGGGCACAGAGAGGCAGGAGGGGCTGTGCAGAGGCTCAGCCCTTCCCGTGGCCTGACCCTGAACCACAGCACACCCAGCACCCTGACTCAGCTGCCCTGAATACAGTAGGTGGGGAGTTGCCTCATGACCAAGTGTCACTGATCCCTCCACACACACCATGCACAGCTGCTCCCAGGGTGTCCCAGCCCCGCTGCCCTGTGCTGTGGCTGCCTGACCACAGCTCCAACCCTTTGCAAACGCCCCCCCCACTCCAATTTCCCCCAGCACTTACCACTCCCATCCCCCAGCACAGCCACTGCCTCCCAGCCCAGCCTCACCTGTGCTCGCTGTCCCTTGGGGTCCCGACAGCCTGCAAAGACCCACTGGGGTGGGTTTGGCATCTTCAGGAAGTGCTGGACGAACCCCAGGCCGATGCCCCGGTTGGCCCCAGTCACCAGGACAGAGCGGACACGAAGCTCTCCCATGTTGCTTCTCCCTCTGCTGCAGCTCACACTGTTTGCTCAGCTCCCCAACGTTTCCTTATAACATTTTCCACGGACACTCCACCCACTCAGGGCTTGCACCAACCCTTGGATCCAGGTACAGCTTCTCCAGACCTTCAAACTCCAGGATATAGATCCTGGCTGGGAGCCCATCCTTGTTACCAAAGGGCAAAAATCACTTGGCTTCTTCTGGCAAATTCTGATGGCCCTGGGAAACCTGGTGCCATAACACAGGGGAGGCTGTTGGGGGTGAGGAGGGAAGGAGTGGGACATGGAAGGGACGTGGAAAACTGCATGGCTCAGGTAGGTCTGACATTTCACAGGATGGGCTTTCTAAATCAGACCCACAGTGCAGACGGAACAGGCTGATCTCATCCCCTCCCCAGGTCCCCTGAGCCAGGTCGTGCCTCAGATGGCCATGAGCAGACATTCTCTGCCTTGCTCTTGCCTCTTCCAAGCCAATGTCCATTCCCTGATTGTCAAGGCAAAGATCTGTGGAGTGGAGGAAACCCAGTGGATCCAGTGCCCCGTTGGAAGGATGGGGATCTGCGTGGCCAGCCCATCACCAACAGCTGGCCCTGCACTCCAGCTGTGCACCAGCTGGGGGCTTGTCAGGCCTTAACAGAGCGTTGGTGTGTTTGCCTCAGGAATTTGTGCCGCTCCTGGAGCAGGCG